TAAAAAAAAAAAAAAAAAGACCATACCCTTTTATGTAATGATGTTTACTTTGAATTTATATTAGTTCACACAAACACTCCATCCATGCTTTTGTTCCGGCCCTCCGGTCCAGTTTAAGAACCCATTGTGGCCCTCGAGTCAAAAAGTTTGCCCACCCCTGGTCTATGCTGTCTCAAAAGCCAAGAGATCCTTCTTTTTACAGCTGCATAGACTTCCATGGTATAAATGTACCACAGCTTTTTTATCCACCCATCTACTGATGGGCACTTAGGCTGTTTCCAGATCTTAGCTATTGTAAATTGTGCTGCTATGAACTTAGGGGTGTATATATTCTTTCTGACTGGCGCTTTGGGTTTCTTAGAATATATTCCTAGAAGTGGGATCACTGGGTCAAATGACAGATCCATATTTAATTTTTTGAGGAAACTCCATACTGCTTTCCATAATGGTTGCACCAGTCAGCATTCCCACCAGCAGTGTACTAGGGTTCCTTTTCTCCACATCCTCTCCAGCACTTGTCATTTGTTGATTTTTTGATGATAGCCATTCTGACAGGTGTGAGATGGTACCTCATTGTCGTTTTGATTTGCATCTCTTGGATGATTAGTGACTTTGAGCATTTTTTCATGTCTCTTGGCCATCTGTGTGTCCTCTTTGGAGAAGTGTCTATTGAGGTCCTTTGTCCATTTTTTAATTGGATTATTTGTCTTCCTTTTGTTAAGTTGTCTTGAGTTCCTTATATATTTTGGCTGTTAACCCTTTATCTGATGTATCATTGCCAAATATGTTTTCTCATACGCTGGGATCTCTTTTCATTTTGTTGATGGTTTCTTTTGCTGTGCAGAAGCTTTTTATTTTGATGTAGTCCCATTTGTTTATTTTCTCCTTAGTATTCACTGCCTTAGGAGATGTATCTGTAAACATTGCTACAAGAGATGTCTCAGGTTTTGCTGCCTATGCTTTTTCTAGGATTTTTATGGTTTCATGACTTAACATTTAAGTCTTTTATCCGAGTTTATTCTTATGTATGGCATAAGTTGGTAGTCTAGTTTCATTTTTTTGCATGTATCTGTCCAATTTTCCCAACACCATTTATTGAAGAGACTGTCTTGACTCCAACGTATGCTCTTGCCTCCTTTGTCAAATATTAATTGAGCATAATGGCTTGGGTCAATTTCTGGGTTCTCTATTCTGTCCCATTGGATCTATATGCCTGTTCTTAAGCCAGTACCAGGGTTGTTTTGGATTACGGTGGCTTTGTAGTTGTAACTTGGAAATGTGGTATTGTGATTCCTCCAACTTTGGTTTTCTTTCTCCAATTGCTGCAGCTATTCAGGGTCTTTTTGATTCCATATACATTTTTGGAGTATTTGTTCCAGCTCTGTGAAATATGCCATTAGCATTTTAATAGGGATTGCATTAAATCTGTAGATTGCCTTGGGTAGTATGGACATTTTAATGATGTTGATTCTACCAATTCATGAACATGGTATATTCTTCCACTTGTTTATATCTCCTTCTGTATCTTTTTTCAGCTTCCTGTAATTTTCTGAGTATAGGTCTTTTGCCTCCTTGGTTAAGTTTATTCCTGAGTATCTTAATTTTTATTGCAGTAGTAAATGGGATTGTTTAATTTCTCTTTCTGAGAATTCATTATTGGTGTATAAAAAAGCCATCAATTTTTGGGTGTTGATTTTGTATCCTGCTACATTGCCAAATTCATTTATTAAATCTAGTAGTTTTTTTGTGGAATCTTTAGGGTTTTCTATGTACAATACCATGTCATCTGCGAATAATGAGAGTTTTACTTCCTCCTTTCCAATTTGGATTCCTTTTATTTCTTCTTGTCTGATTGCTGTGGCTAGCACTTCCAGCACTCTGTTGAATAAGAGTGGTGAAAGCAGACATTCCTGTCTTGTTCCTGTACTTAGGGGAAATGCTTTTAGTTTTTTCCCATTGAATATGATGTTGGCTATAGGTTTGTCATATATGGCCTTTATCATGTTGAGATGTACTCCTCTATTCCTACTGTGCTGAGAGTTTTTATCAAAAATGGGTGTTGGATTTTGTCAAATGCTTTTTCTGTATCAATTGATATGATCATATGATTTTTGACTTTCAATTTATTTACATGATGTATCGCATTTATTGATCTGCGAATATTGTACCAGTCTTGCATCCCTGGAATAAATCCCAGTTGGTCATGGTGTATGGCCTTTTTAATATGGATGTGATTTGCTAATGTTTTGTTGAGGATTTTAGCATCTATATTCATCAGGGATATTGGCTTGTAATTCTTTTTCTTGTAGTGTCTTTATCTGGTTTTGGAATTAGGATAATGCTGACCTCATAAAAAGAGTTTGGAAGTGTTCCTTTGGATTTTCTGAAATAGTTTGAGGAGTACAGGTGTTAGTTCTTCTTTGAATGTTTGGTAAAACACCCCTGTGAAGCCATCTGGACCTGGGCTTTTGTTTGCTGGGAGTTTTTTGACTACTGCTTCTGTTTCATCAGTTGTTATTGGCCTATTCAGGTTTTTTGATTACTCCTGATTCAGTTTTGGGAGATTGTATTTTTCTAGGAATTTTTCATTTCATCCACATTGTCTAGCTTCTTGGCATAGAGTTGTTCATAGTATTTTCTTGCAATCCTTTGTATTTCTGTGGTGTCTGTAGTTACTTTTCCACTTTTGTTTCTGATTTTATTTATTTGGGTCCTCTCTCTTTGTTTCTTGATGAGTTTGGCTGATGGTTTATCAATTGTGTTTATCCTTTCAAAGAACCAGCTCTTGGTTTCATTGATTTTTTTGTATTGTTTTTTTTAGTATCTATGTTATTTATTTCTGCTCTAATCTTTATTTCCTTCCTCCTACTTCCTTTGGGCTTTTCTTATTGTTCTCTTTCTAGTTCTTTAAGTTGTAGGGTTAAATAGTTTATTGGTGATTTTTCTTGTTTTTTGAGATATGCCTGCTTTTCCTGGGCCCCGAGATTTTGGGGTTGTTGTGTGTTCATTTTCATTTGTTTCCAGGAAGTTTTTTATTTCTTTCTTGGCCTCATTGGTAATATATTCATTGTTTAATAACATGCTATTTAGTCTCCATGTGTTTGAATGTTTTAGAACAATGTGGTATTTATTAACCAGTATCATCCTAATGAATGTAATAAAACTTTTTTAAAAAAGATCAGTGTGTTATGATGTATGAGTTGCCTTTAAAACAAAAGTATATTTTTCCTTAAAACTAGGGTAATTTTGTGCTGTTAAGCTTTTTAAAAATTTATGGTCTTATTAACTGAGGCTAATTTCGGCTTATTAGCTGCTCTTGAGGAAAGCTCTGCTATTTGTTGCCCTTCTTGAGAATGATAGGAGTCTATATGGAAAACATAAATGAAAACTTGAATCTTTTTGTATTTCCCTGTTTCTTTATTAATTTTGTCTTATTCGCTTACTTCTCTGTGTAATATGGTTAGGTGATAAAGTAATTTTTCTGATAACTTAATAATACTAATATATTTTAAAGATTTAAAAAATCTGGTTACTTGTAGGCACCAAGAGTGGAAGCGCAAGTTCTTCTGGGATCTTTAGTTTGCTTTCCTAACTTATATTGTGAACTGCCTGCTCTTCATCCCAATATTCCTGATATTGCTGTGTCTCAATTTACAGATGTTAAGGTAAGAAATCAGATGTTAATTGTTAGCATTTAAATGATGTATAATAATAATGTATATTCAATAAAATGTGTATTCTTTCTTTTCTTAGAAATCCACACAATTTTTAAAGAACATTAACCAGCCTCAGAACACAGGCTGGAGTATTTATTAGGAGCATAGCCTTTTTTGTGTTTATAACTTCTTTGGAAATGTTTTTTCTTATTATTGAAACACTAGAGGCCTGTTGCATGAAGAGATTCGTGCAATAGGCTTTCCCTTCCCTTGGCTGCTGGCACCGGTTTGCCTCTGGCACCCGGGACCCAGGCTTCGCTCTGGCCGGGCTCCAGCCGAAGCCGGCCCCGGAGCCGTCCGGCTTTGCTACTCCAGCCCCGGGGCCATCCGGCTTCCCTCTGCCGGCCCCGAGGCTGTCTGGCTTCGCTCCACTGGCACTGGGGCCGTCTGGCTTTGCTCCGCCGCTTGGAGCCTACGTATGCAAATTAACCGCCATCTTTGTTGGGTTAATTTGCATACTTTCCTGATTGGCTGGTTAGCGTAGCGAAGGTATGGTCAGTTTACAGGTTTGTCTATTATTAGGTAAGATTCTATGTGCCAGATCCTATGCTGATAATATAGGCTTCTTAGATTAAGATGGCATTAAACCTGCATATTGACTCTTCCCTCTCCCAATTTCCCAATGTGAGGAATCAAACGTAATGTAATGGAATATTCTGTTCTGCTGTAGAAATTGAGGTTTGGGATCCCATGTACCTAAAGCATTAACAGGCTTGAACAGAAGATGGTGCACAATTAAAGTGACTATATAATTGCTGATGGAACTCACTCTAAATACTGAAACTTAAAAATAAAGATAATAGTGACTGATTAGGAGCAGATATGCTTCTAATTGTTTATAAAACTTTTTTAAAATTTCAAGTGAAAAATCAGTAAAAAGTTATCTTTGGCTACTATGACAAAATATTACAGACTGGGTTGCTTATAAAAATGACAAAAAATTATTTCTCATATTTATGGAGGCTGAGAAGTCCAAGATCAGAGGTTTAGCATAGTCGTTTTAAGGTGAGGGACCTCTTCCTGGTTCATCCTGGGCCTTCTCCCTGTGGCCTCACAAAGTAAAAAGAGCCAGGGAGCTCTGTGTGAGTCTCTTTTGTAAGAGCATTAATTTCACTCATAAAGGCTCCACCCTCATGACCTAAGCACATCCTAATACCATCATCTCTAGAAGTTAGGATTTCAACATATGAATTTTGAGGGGACAAACATTCAGACTATACCATTGTTTTATTTATTTAGCTAATTTTATGAATAATATTAGACTATTAAAAGTATGTACATGAGAACAAAGACTGTTGGTTTTACTTCAATACTAGAGGCTCGGTGCATGAAATTTGTTCACGGGTGGGGGGTGTCCCTCAGGCCAGCCTGTACCTTCTCCAATCTGGGATACCTCAAGGGATGTCCGACTGCCTGTTTAGGCCCGATCTCACCGGGCAGCCGGACATCCCTCTCACAATCCAGGACTGCTGGCTCCCAAACGCTCGCCCGCCTGCCTGCCTGATTGTCCCTAACCGCTTCTGCCTGCCAGCCTAATCACCCCCTAACCTCTCCCTTGCCAGCCTGATCAACGCCTAACAGCTCCCCTGCCAGCCCGATTGCCCCTAACTGCCCTCTCCTGCCAGCCTGGTTGCCCCCAAATGCCTTCCCCTGCTAGCCCGGTCACCCCCAACTGCCCTCCCCTGCTGGCTCGATCACCCCTAACTGCCTTCCCCTGCGGCCTGGTCGCCCCCGGCTACCCTCCCCTGCAGGCCTGGTTGCCCCCAACTGCCCTCCCCTGCAGGCCTGGTTGCCCCCAACTGCCCTTCCCTGCTGGCCTGGTCCCTCCCAGCTGCCCTCCCTTGCCGGCCATCTGTGTCCACATGGGGGTGGCCACGTTGTGTGTTGGAGTGATGCTCAATTTGCATATTACCTCTTTATTATATAGGAATAGAGGCCTGGTCACAAAAATTTGTGCACTCGGGGGTGGTCCCTCAGCCCGGCCTGTGCCCTCTCGCATCTGGGACCCCTCAGGGGATGACCACTTGCTGGCTTAGGCCAGCTCCCCAGGGGATTGGGCCTAAGCTGGCAGTCAGACATCCCTCTGGCAGCCCGGGAGCCCTCAGGGGATGTCCACTTGCCAGCGGGGAGCAGGCTTAAGCTGCAGTCAGACATCCTTAGCGCTGCTGAGGAGGTGGGGGAGGCTCCCACCACCACCGCTGTACTGGCAGCCACCAGCCTGGCTTGTGGCTGAGCAGAGCTCCTCCTGTGGGAGCGCACTGACCACCAGGGGGCAGCTCCTGCATTGAGCATCTGCCCCCAGGTTGTCAGTGTGTGTATAGTGACCAGTCATTCCCAGTCGTTCTGCTGTTAGGGTCTATTTGCCTATTACCCTCTTATTATATAGCAGTGCCTGGCCAGCCTGGGTGAGGGGCTGATGGCTGTTTGCAGGCTTGCCACACCTCCTTCAGGGTGGGGGTCCCCAATGGGGTGCCTGGCCAGCCTGGGTGAGGAGCTGAGGGCCGTTTTCAGGCTGGCCACACCCCCTTCAGGGTGGGGGGGTACTGCTGGGGTGCCTGGCCAGTCTGGGTGAGTGGCTGATGGCAGTTTGCAGGCTGGTCAAGCCTCCCAGCGGGACCCTCACCCCATGAGGGTGTGGCCAGCCTGGGTGAGGGGCTGATGGCTGTTTGCAGACTGGCCACAGCCCCCAGCCACCCAAGCTCCCAGTGGAGGCTGTCTGGAAGCAGGTATCTTGGATTTATTTGACTTCTATAATTGAAACTTTGTTGCCATGAGTGGAGGCCACAACCGGCTCAGAGAAGGCAGGAAGCTTGGCTTCCTCCATTGCCCAGGCAAGTAAGCCTCCTGCTTGCTCCAGCTCCGTGGCTGTCGGCCGCCATCTTGGTTGGGTTAATTTGCATAGAGTTGCTCTGATTGGCTGGTGGGCGTGGCTTGGGGCATAGCGAAGGTATGGTCACTTAGCATCTTTGTCTTTTATTACTGTAGATAGTGTTCCTAGCACCTGCCATAGTCGCCATTTAATAAATATTTGTTGAATTAACGAATGAACTCTTACTCATTGCTACTATTTCCTCCTTATTTTAGGAACTTATAATCAAAACTGTATTAAGCTCAGCAAGAGATGAGCCCTCTGGCCCTGCACGGTAGGTCAGATATTCTTAAGACTTGTTATAACTATTCTGTGTTTGCAGTCTCACCTTAGAAGTTGGTTAGATTATTTAACAGTCCACATTGTTTCAGATACACAAAAGCTATTCTAAATTACAAATTCAAATTATTTGTATGAATAAATACTTTTTATCATGATTTAAATATGAACCTTCTTTCATTAAAAAGATAAAATATTAGTCACCCGTTTTAGTACCTCTACCCTCAGTATTGAAAATGACTTTTTCAATTATATATTTAAATATATTTTGCTTTCCCTTTAGATTATGTATTCAGTCTTTTCTGCAATACCTTTAATTGTAGTAGTAGTTACCCAGTGAATGTTACTTAAATTGAATTAAAATAAAATATTTTTATTACAGAATATAATGTACTGACTGTATTTAAGAAAATAGTATATATTGATATTAATAAATATTTGATCAGGATTTTAAAAAAATAGAATATAAGTAATATATATGTGGTTTACATATATAATATATTATATAAATATGTATTACATTATAAATATAAGATATTAGAGTGTTTTCCTTTTTAAATGCCTTATTTAGGGGCAAAAACTTGTCATTTTCTATTTTACTAAACTTTTTTTAAAAAGGTTGAGACTTAAATCAGCTGGTTGCCAATATCGCATCATGTTTCTTCTCATCCCCAAATATCCTTAATTCATATAGTATTATATTTCTTGAATCTAATTCTAATAAAATGTCATTAGCTTCAAAAGTAGCCTGTGTTACTCCTCCTCTGACCTACATCTCTGCAAAGCTTTCTCTTTTCCAATTACCTACATATCTTTTTGACCCAGGTTAATGAAAGTGCAGATCATGGCTTTGACCATTTGAATATTAATTCTAATTTAAGTCTCTTATTTTTTCCACCAGTAAAAATAATGTAAAATGAGTAGTTTGCTTAAATGAGACATAGCTCCAGCTTTTTAATTCAATTCCATATTTTTCTCACTTATTAGTCAAGTTAACTAAAAACAAATCTCTTTGAGCCTGGCTGGTCTGGTACAGTGGTTGAACATCAACCTATGTACCAGGAAGTCAGGGTTCGATTTCAGTCTGGACACACGCCCGAATTGCACACTTGATCCCCAGTAGGGGGCATGAGGGCAGCAGGCAATCAATGATTATCTCTTATCAATGATGTTTTCATCTCTCTCTCCCTCTCCCTTCCTCACTGAAATCAATAAAAAAAATGTTTTTTAAAAACCACAAATCTTTTTGAGTAAATTTTTTATTTTAATTTCATTTTAATGCTGGACATCCCTAGAAAATGACATTGTCTTTTCCATTATACCATATTTTCATTTCTGGTAGCTTTACCCTCAAATGTGATCATTTTAAATATTAATTCTCTAGTATTTTCTATGTTAATAATGACAATCTTTTAAGTTTCCAAGAATTTTCCTATAATATTGTTTTATTTATTCCTCATCACAATTCTAAGAAATTAATGGAACCATCATTATTCTTCCAAGTTCGCTAGCATGAAACCGATGTCTTAGAAAGCTAACATTTATTAAGTCCTTTCTAAGTGCCAGACACTGTTCTAAATACTTTATTACCTCATTTATAACAACTCTAGAAGACAGATACAATTTGTATCTTCCCTATTATAGGAGCCCAGAGTATTTAAATAATTATCCCTATCACCCAGCAATGGCAGAGCCATGATTAAAACTATGATAGTTTGTCTTCAGAGCCTTATTAGATGCATAAATAATAATGGCTGAACCAGATTTGAACCCAGAGTTTCAGATTCTAGATTTTCTGTGTGTTTCTTTTTAACTATGTTGCCTCTCAAGTAAAGAATATTGAAGCCTAAAACATAGATGCCCAGAAAGACTTGGGAATCATTAACACAATAGCTTTTATTAAGAATAGGCCTTATCAGCGGTTCTCAACCTGTGGGTCGCGACCCTTTCGCAGTTGAGCGACCCTTTCACAGGGGTCGCCTAAGACCATCCTGCATATCAGATATTTACATTACGATTCATAACAGTAGCAACATTACAGTTATGAAGCAGCAACGAAAATAATTTTATGGTTGGGTCACAACATGAGGAACTGTATTTAAAGGGCCAGAAGGTTGATAACCACTGCCTCAGATGCTTATACCCCCAAAATTGATATGGAGCAGAGAGTTGAGCAATACTGGGAATAATTTAGATTATTTGGACATCTTTAGGAATGTAGGAAACTGTGTACGCAGGTGTGTGATCACAAAAGAAAAAGGAAAAAGCCTGTTACGCAGTTGTACTCCCAGTCTGTGCCTTTAGTTAGCTGCTTCCGTGGAGAGCTTTGCCTCACTTTAGAGTTTAATGTTACTTGATGATTACAGCTCTTTCTACTGCTAACCATGAAATTTGGTTATTTAGATCTATAAATATTATCTAAGATTCATGGGTAGATAGACAATGGAAGAGAAAAAATAAAGCAGTAGACTTGCTTAAAAGACTTTCTGGTAGTTTTGATAGTAAACAATTTATAGCATTGACACTATGCTAGACTAAAAGAGAAGCGTAAGAACTTCTGATCCAATGTGTTCAGTAAAATGTTACTGCATTGAATTGTTCTGAATTTAGCATTCCACTGAATTTAAGAATATCAGTACCAGGACATACCACGTATATAACTAGGATCCTAGAAGGAGTCAATTTTTTTTGTTCATAGAACCATTATATTCGTCATCAGAAGCTTATATTTGAACACACTAATGGAATTCCACTGATTGTGATCGCAAAGTACTCCCTTCAAGCTGATACAGTTCAAGTAGGGAAATGAAGACATTAAGCAACAAAGCAAAAATCCTACAAGTTCTGTTTCTATTGGAATCCCTTTATGAAGTATATGCATTTTATTTGTGTACCTAATCTGTTTTTTTAAAGAGTTTGAGTTTGCTTAAGTTCACTTTGCTGCTATCAGTTAATCAAATGACATTCTTTCCTTTTTGAAAACAGGTTACATATATGTTTGGGAATCTTTATGAAAATATCAATTTCTTAATATGGGTTTGTTAGAAAAATCCTTTATATTATCTCTGCCTATGATTTTGTTAATAAATTATAATTGAAAATTAGATTTAAAGTTTTAGGGATGTGCTTTCATCCTCCTTTCTCTTCCTAAGAAGAGCTAACGTACAAAGTAACAAATTGGTCAATTTACTTAAACAGTGCATGTTCATTCTATGTTGGCTAGTTGTGGATGTTTGGTTGTAATGGTGGTTTCATTTCTTTAAAAGCTCATACATTTTTATTTGTATCATTATTGGTTGCCTTTTTTTGCAGATGTGTAGCACTTTGCAGTTTAGGTATTTGGATTTGTGAAGAACTAGTCCATGAGTCTCATCATCCTCAAATTAAGGAAGCTCTGAATGTAATTTGTGTTTCCTTAAAGGTAAAAAAACAAACAAACAAAAAAAAACTATTTAGTGGAATATATTAAAATAGTATAGAATCATGATTATTTTTCTCCAAATGTTAATTAAATGTTGTGCTCTTTAATAAATGTTTTCATTAATTTATTATTACATTATTTCCTTGCTCCTGACTTTTTCTTTAAGAGTGATCCTAAGTCATCTTTTTATGTATTTGGCTTTGTCCATAGGAAACATATAGGTGGCTCTTAAAAAGGAAACCAGTCATTTAACAACATAGGTTGTTTGTTTTTTCTTTATCAGTATTTTTTTTAACCTACTATTTGATCTTTACTACTTCTGAATTCTTGAGCTGCTCAACTTTTTTTACTTTATCATTCAAGTTAAATGGCCTCCTTGTGGCCAAAATAAGATTTGTTCAGAAATAACCTAATTATTTCGGGAGTCTAAATGAATAAATGGATATTTTTTTCTGTTTCTGAACAGAAGCATAATATTTTTTCTGTCTTAAGACTTATAATACACTATCTGTATAGGACTCCAAAGATACAATGTACAAATATTACCGATTTGACAGATAATTCTGAGCATATACTAGTTTGAGGTGCTTTGTTAGGCAGAGCAAGGGATACCAGAATGAAAAGAATTGTAAATACTAGATTCAAGAGATTAATGGTCTGATGCTGGAAAAGATTAAAATAAGAGGAATAAAGTATAAAAAGCTGAGATAACCAAATGAGTGGTGTATGTAAACTGCTGATTGAGTTCAGAGGAAGCAGAGATCACTTTGACTTAGGTACCAGAGAAGACTTTGGAAAGAGGAAACTTTTGGTCATGGCTTGAAGAGTGGGTAGGATTTGATCATAGAGAGATAAGCATAAAAAGGATAACTTTATGCCACTGGGGAGTCATTTAAGAGTTTTAAGCATAGAGAATATTAACATCAGAGGAGTTCTTCAGAAGATTATTTTGGAAGTATTGTGTCTAGTAGATTTGAATGGGGAAAGATTGGTAATACTATTAGAGGCTGTTGTAAAAATCTAGGTAAGAAAAAATGGAATAAGGCTTAAATGAGGACAGTCAAGCATTACAAAGGAAAAAATAATATTGTGTCTTTGGAATGAGTTGTGTGTTTTTTATCTTTTGCAGCTGTATATTTATCTTCCTAATAATACTTTAATAAACACATAAATATAGAATGACAAAAAATATGAAGTTTAAAATTTTTTAGCAGCTAATGCATTGATGCATAATAGTTCAGGAAGAAATTTTTATGTGTTTTTCTTTTTTTTGTTATTTTTACAGTTTACTAATAAAACAGTAGCCCATGTAGCTTGTAACATGCTTCACATGCTCGTTCACTATGTACCTAGACTTCAGATTTACCAGCCTGATTCTCCCTTGAAAATTATTCAAGTAAGTAATTTCTTATTTATTTTTCATAATGACCTTTGTTAAGGATTTTAAAATTTGGATACCTTGAAATACAAAATTACTCAATAGTTTTCAAATTTTGCACAAGTAAATAATGGCAACCTAAGGTACATTTTTGAGTATCAAAAGTTCATGACAGTTCCTTTGTGTTTTATGTTAGGAGATTGTGTTCTTGTTTTTAAATGTTATCTGCAAATTTATAATTGCCATTGTCTATATGAATGTGGATTTGGCTTCATTTCATCTCTTAGGTTAAGAAAATATGCCATCTGTCCAGTTACCATATCAGGACATTATTTTGATTCATTACTTTTCTTTCCTCTTTAGCCAATTATTTATAGTTTTTATTTTGTTTTAATTCCATGTCTTTTATACTTTCTACTATATCTGAACTATTTCAGCCATTCATTATTTCTGTCTTGATCTATATATATAAAAGGCTGATATGCAAAGTGTCCCCTCATGAGTTCGACAGGGAGACCGGGAGTTCGATCACTCACTATGATGTGTGCTAACCACCAGGGGGCGGCACAGAACAAAGGAAGGCCCCAACCGGCAGCCAGGGAAGGGAGGCCCCGGCCAGTAGCCGGAAGAAAAGCCTCCATCACCCCTGATCACCGGCCAAGCCTAGGGACCCTACCCATGCACGAATTTTGTGCACCGAGCCTCTAGTCTACACTAATAAAAGACAAACATGCAAATTGACTGTGCCTTCGCTACGCCTTAAGCCACGCCCATCAGCCAATCAGAGCGACTATATGCAAATTAACCCAACCAAGATGGCGGCCGACAGCCACGGAGCTGGAGCAAGCAGGAGGCTTGGTTGCCCCAATGATGGAGGAAGCCAAGCTTGCCATGGTGGGCCCTGAGCTCCACTCAAAGCAACAAAGTTTCAATTATAGAAGGTAAATAAACCCCAGATACCTGCTTTCAGCTGGCCATGGCCACGGAGCTGGAGCAAGCAGGAGGCTTCCCTCCCGCCCGCCCTGGCCGGCTCTGAGCTCCTCTCAAGGCTACAAAGTTTCAATTATAGAAGGTAAATAAATCCCAGAATAAAAAAAAAAAAGAAAGAAGGAGAGACTGGAAGCTTCCATCGCCGGGGGGCTTGGCCAGCCTGAAAACGACCCTCAGCCCCTCACCCAGACTGGCCAGGCACCCTAGTGGGGAGCCCCCACCCTAAAGGTGGTGTGGCCAGCCTGAAAACAGCCATCAGCCCTTCACCCAGGCTGGCCAAATCTCCATGGGGTGAGGGTTCCCACTGGAGGGGGCTTGACCAGCCTGCAAACAGCCATCAGCCCCTCACCCAGGCTGGCCAGGCACCCCAGCGGGATCCCCACCCTGATCCGGGACACCCTTCAGGGCAAACCAGCCAGCCCCCACCCATGCATCAGGCCTCTATCCTATATAATAAAAGGGTAATATGCAAACTGACCCTAACAGCAGAACGACTGGGAATGACTGGTCACTATGACACACACTGACCACCAGGGGGCAGATGCTCAATGCAGGAGCTGCCCCCTGGTGGTCAGTGTGCTCCCACAGGGGGAGCTCTGCTCAGCCACAAGCCAGGCTGCCAGCTGCCAGTACAGCGGTGGTGGTGGGAGCCTCTCCCACCTCCTCAGCAGCGCTAAGGATGTCTGACTGCAGCTTAGGCCTGCTCCCCACTGGCAAGTGGACATCCCCTAAGGGCTCCTGGGCTGCCAGAGGGATGTCTGACTGCCAACTTGGGCCCGATCCCCCAGGAAGCCAGCAGGTGGACATCCTCCGAGGGGTCCCATAGGGGTCCCATACTGCAAGATGGCATAGGCCGGGCTGAGGGACCCTCCCGAGTGCACAAAGTTTTGTGCACCGGGCCTCTAGTATACTATAATAGACTTCTAATTGATTTCCTGGCTTCTGAGGTCTTCCCTATCAAATTGTCATTCACATTTACATGACTATTATGTCAGTTACCTGAAAAAAAACAAAATCTCTTGAGTGGTTTTCCTTTGCCTATAAAATAAGATCCAATTTATTTACTTAGGCTTTTCCAGGCCTTCTGATGAGGACCCAATCCATCTTTTCAGAATCACATACATATCCCTTTGAAATACACTCTAGTCCAGGCACCTGAGTTGGCTTACTATCAACTAAACATACCCCTCACTCTTCTTACCTGAACTGCTCTGATTTTCCTTTTTACATCCCATTTTCAGTTTTGGGTTTAAATCTATCTCATCAAAAAATTAAAACTCTTATCTGTTCTCTCTAACCAGAATTTATTGTTCTTCATATTCTTGTAACATTTTTAGGAAAGATGGTAGTTAATATTTATTAAGCACCTACTATGTACCAGCTAATACACCAGTCATCTCCATATGTTATCTCATTTAATTTTTAAAAATCTTTTAAAATGAGCAATTATCTTCCTGCTCCCTGTTTTGTCCCCCTTAATTTAAGATGAGAGGACTGAGCATTTAGTAACTATGTAAAGTCACAGCTGACCAGGCAGTTTTCAAACTCAAGTCTGTAAGATTTCAAGTCCAGGCTTTTTCCACGCAACCATGTTTCCAGCCTCTATTATAACAGTAAATATATTTGTGTACAAATTCTAAATTTTTTAAAGACAAGGGCATCACTTTCATGTAGAATCTGTTCAGTAAATATTGGTTGAGTTTAATGTAGGTTGAGAGGTTGGATTTGAGGGTTAGACACACCTGCCATGAGTCTGCCAATTACTAACTTTGTAACTATGAACAAGTTACATTGCCCTCTGAACTCTGTGTTTTCTTATCTTTACATTTGGGATAAAAGTATATACCTCACAGAATTGTTCCGAAGATTAATGAAAAAATACATATAAAGCACTTCACACTTTTTGCCATTAAGATGGGGGAATACATAAATTTTAATAAACGTTGGCTGCAGCTGTTATTATCAATGGGGTTATGATAACTGGATGTAAATGTGACTATGCATCTGTATGCTAGTAAGAAAACATTTGAAAATTTTACCCTTTAAGATTGCTTGTTCTATTTGAAAATTAAGTTCTTTAAGCAGATTTTTTTCATTTGAAGCTTTCAAATCCTTCCCCTTATTTTCTTTATCAGTTTATTCTATCTAATAAAAGAGTAATATGCAAATTGACCATCACTCCAACACACAAAATGGCCAGCAGGGGAGAGCAGTTGTGGGCGATCAGGCCAGCAGGGGAGGGCAGTTGGGGGCGACCAGGCCTGCAGGGGAGGGCAGTTGGGGGCAACCAGGCTGGCAGGGGAGGGCAGTTAGGGGTGACCAGGCTGGCAGGGGAGCAGTTAGGTGTCGATCAGGCTGGCAGGGGAGTGGTTAGGGGGTGATCAGGCTGGCAGGCAGAAGCAGTTAGGGGCAGTCAGGCAGGCAGGCGGGCAAGCGGTTGGGGGCCAGCAATCCTGGATTGTGAGAGGTATGTCCGACTGCCCAGTGGGACCGGGCCTAAACAGGCAGTCGGACATCCCTCAAGGTGTCCCAGATTGGAGAGGGTGCAGGCTGGCCTGAGGGACACCCCTCTCCACCCCCGTGCACGAATTTCATGCACCGGGCCTCTAGTATATTAATACTTAACTAAGTACTTAAGCGTGAAGATTTGTTGCAAATTGCTTCACCGTACATTATAGTGGCCAACGGCTACAGTTAAACATGAAGAGTTACTATAATTCACCTCTAATCGAATTTAGGACTAGAATCCCAAAATAATGGAGCATTTTACTAATTATTACCTATTTACATAGTTAGGAATAGAGCTCAGTTCTAGTATTATTAAGCAGGTGCATCTAATATACTAGATTCTACTGGTAAACCTTCATATATACAGTATATTTTGAGGATTTTTTTCTACCTGATGCATTAAATCAATAATTTATAAAAATATAATAGCACCCCAAGGCTGTGTCCCAGGGTCCCGAGCTCTCCACCCCCAGCCTGCTTCTAGAGGAAAAGGAGCAGTCTCTCAGAGATAGGCTTCCTCGGGAATTAATGTACAGAATGACGTGTACAAAATAGCTTACAATAAATTTATCCCTGTACATTTTTAACAAGCACATAAAAAATTGAATGTGATCAAGAGATTTTCAGGGTGGCCCTAGCCAGTTTTGCTCAATGGATAAAGCATCGGCCTGCGGACTGAAGGGTTTGATTCTGATCAAGGGCAGGTACCTCGGTTGCAGTCTCCTGGCCCTGGTTGGGAGTCATGTGGGAGGCAACCAAGCAATGTCTCTTTCTCACATCAGTGTTTTTCTCTGTCTCTCCCTCTCCCTTCTACTCTCTAAAAATCAATGGAAAAAATAGCCTAGAGCAAGGATTTAAAAAAAGAGAGATTTTTAGGATAAATAACACAGTATATTAATATTTTTCCATCTTTTAATAATGTCTGTTACTATTTGATATTTCTGTATCAAATTTATTCATATACTAGTCAGTGTATGTAAATTTAAAACCACATAATATGTCTTGTTTTTTTCTTTAAAAAGCATAAATATATATATATATATATATATATTTTAGAGGCCTGGTGCACGAATTTGTGCACCATGGGGGTCCCTCAGCCTGGCCTGCGGAATCGGGCTGAAACCATCTCTCTGACATCCCCAGAGGGGTCCCGGATTGTGAGAGGGTGCAGACCAGGCCGAGGGACCCCACCAGTGCACAATAGGGGCTGGGGAGGGACGCGGGAGGTCGGCCAACCAGGGAGG